GGTGGGAAAGATAGCACTGAGCCTGTAGTTAAAGGGGAATACAAGGAAGTCCCTAAGGAGCTTATTACTCAATTGAAGACAATCCTCCAGGTGCTTCCAAAATTTGAATTTGTGACTCTTCTCTTCTTTTTGAACTGTTCCTATGTTCTGACGTATTTGAAAGTTTCCACTTTTCTTCTGAATTTCGTTGCCTATCTTTCTTCTGTTTTAGGATAACCTGACTACTGACTACGACGAAAGGTACTTCCATGGGAAGCCTCAGAACAGTTTTCACAAGGCAGTAAACATTCCTGATGTTGTTGTTTTCCCAAGGTGAGACTACTCATTGCTGCAATGTTTTTGCCCTCTAGATTAATATCAGTAGCTGAGAATGGTTCGGGTCTTAAGAACAGATGCATGGATCATCATCCTTTTTTATATTGTTTAGGTCCGAAGAAGAAGTCTCCAAGATTCTTAAATCCTGCAATGAATATAAGGTTTGTAAGTTTGTACCTGTAGAAAATTCAGTGCCCTCAGTCTTTTTGAGTTCTAGTCTAGGCCAATATGCTATATTACTTGGGATTTGTAGCTTCCTGGTGGATTTGATATTTACTATTTGATTAGGTTCCTATTGTACCATATGGTGGGGCAACATCGATTGAGGGTCATACCCTGGCTCCAAAAGGAGGTGTATGCATTGACATGTCATTAATGAAGGTATGTGCTAATCTTTTGAGTTCGACATCAGCGTCCTTGATTTTCATTTCAAACTTATCCTTTTGGTGTCATGCAATAAATCATTCCATGTACCTGCTACATTAGTATAGAAAGACGATTTTCAATGATGTAACTCGTTCATTTGGAATGCATATCCCAATAAACCTATATCACACTCTCTAGCTTGGGTGAGTCTCACAAACGAGACTTCGTCCTTATTTTTAAATAAGGAATTGAAAATCCTAATTAATTTCCTAGATCAGGAAATAGGAAGAATGAGCATCAGTCCATCACTTATATTCCACATACAAATGTTATTAAATCAAACTTTTTTCTTTCAAACCTTAGAGTGTGAAGGCATTACATGTGGAGGATATGGACGTTGTTGTTGAGCCCGGCATTGGTTGGCTGGAGCTTAATGAATATTTGGAAGAATACGGTCTATTCTTTCCTCTTGACCCAGGTTCGACAACATTGAGATTGTACCTTATCTCTCAGATCATAGCTTTCATATTTATGCTTTAATTTTTGGAACAGAGTTTTTGATGAACTGATTTTTTTATTTTTATGTAACGTCAATTAACGCTTTAGAAATATATTTTGTGCTGTTGCTGCATCATTCAGCATCTTTAGTGTTGTTGTATTAAATTGACTCCTGAACTTCAATTTCATGTTTCTGGGGTCCGTTCATGATAAAAAAAAATATCTGGTGCAGGACCTGGCGCCTCGATAGGAGGCATGTGTGCTACGCGTTGCTCTGGCTCTTTAGCTGTAAGGTAGTTCGTCTGCAACTTTTCTTTTCACTTGTTTGATTGCCCATCTTTGTAATAATTGTGAGGGTGCTTTAATCCGGTTGGCTATTATAATTTTGCTACTAGCTTGTAGGTATGGAACTATGCGTGACAATGTTATAAGCCTTAAGGTTTGTTTCTTCTTCCACTGATTTATCCCCCAGTGTACTATTTTATTTATGCTATGCTCATCTCAGGTGGTGCTTCCTAATGGAGATGTTGTGAAGACAGCTTCACGTGCCAGAAAGAGTGCTGCGGGGTTTGTCTTTAGTCTTTAATTAATTTCTTGGTTTTTTTATTTAGATCTCTTTTTCTCAGAAACAATAAACTATAAGTAAGAGCTGAATCGTATGCTTTCGGTTGTTTGATTAAGTATCATTTAAGTTGATGCTTGATACTTGTTGGACTGGTATCTCAGATACGATTTGACTCGCTTGATGATTGGGAGTGAGGGGACTTTGGGAGTCATAACTGAGGTTACTCTCCGGCTTCAGAAAATCCCGCAGCATTCAGTGGTATATTGACTTCTTCCTTTGTCGTAGATTTCGTTCATTTATCTTTGAGTTCTGATTCAGGTTTCTACCAAAAAGATATTTAAGCTCCTTTGCTATGTGATTTAGTTCGCCCTTGAAGGTCCAAATTGAGTTCATTTTTTTTTTTGCAAAAATTCATACTTAGTTTTCTCTTGCCAAAAAAATCATATAGCCTGACTAGAGTTTCACATATTTCTGTTTTGGCTTAATATGTCTCTTTGCTTATTTTCTATATCTCAACTCTTTTACTACCAGCATTATAATCGAGTAAAAATAAATCTCAAAACAAACATTTCAAGGAATAGTATAAGTTATTTGCCTTATGGACCCTTGTTTCCCTTGCCTTTGTTACTTCCTGCTTCAGTATGGATTGTACATCACTCTAACATTCAAGTGTGTAAAATAGCATTACAATCCAGACTTGTTTGATAGAAACACTCAAACACCTTTTGTCATCATTTGCAGTGGTTATCAATTTTTCTTATGATTCAGTTCCATACACATTTATGATATAATTTTAGGTGGCAGTGTGCAATTTCCCTACAGTTAAGGATGCTGCAGACGTGGCCATTGCCACTATGATGTCTGGAATACAGGTTAGACCTCTGCGTCTGAATTATATGATTTATAATTTTTATTAGAATCTTCTCAGCCATATATTTATTCCCATCAGGTGTCAAGAGTGGAGCTCCTTGACGAGGTTCAAATCAGGGCTATTAATATGGCAAACGGGAAAAACTTGAATGAAGCTCCAACTCTGATGTTCGAATTTATAGGCACAGGTGATTCTGTGTCATATTTTGTACTTTCCAATTGGTATTTCAAGCTATCTAAGATTATACATTGCTTATAGTAGTTTACTCTTTCTAAACAATATCTGTATCTGTTAGAGAAATCATATTCACTCCCCTGTATCTTCTAATTTATCCGATCACAGGATTCTAATGCTCAGTCTTGCTTTCCAGTAGACACATAAAGAGAGAATCATTGTCTTCTAATACTCTCGATCTTTTTTTCTCTCTCTCTGTTAGAGGCATATACACGTGAGCAGACACAAATTGTTCAGCAGATTGCTTCGAAACACAATGGATCAGATTTTATGTTTGCAGAAGAACCTGAAGCAAAAAAAGAACTCTGGAAGGTAATTCTCTGTCCCACTCCCAACACTTTCCCCCTTGAACCTTCCAGCATAAATGAGAAGCAGAAAAGACGGAAAATATGTACTTGTTGTTGTTGTGGTCTGTTCTTGCTTCGTAGACTCTTGGTATAGTCCAAATTTGTTTTCTTCACTATCCTGTTTATGGTATACTACCAAATGTGAGAACTATTTTCTGGTGATTTGTGAATAAGGATATGGGCAAAAAAAACTGTACAATTATTACACTGTCCTTTGCTTCTAATAACATTGAGTTACCAAAGATTTACTGCCTCTGGCTCTAATTTTTATGCAGATAAGAAAGGAGGCATTGTGGTCTTGCTATGCAATGGCGCCAGGGCATGAAGCAATGATTACGGTATGTTGTTTTTCTTTGACACACTTTGGCTATAGATGACCTTTCCAGGCTACAATCAGGAACCTAGAAACCATGTTGTGCCATAATCTTTTTGTTATTTTATTCTTTATCTATAAGGTCAAAACAAGGAATCATCTGTACCTATTTCTTTTACAGGATGTCTGTGTCCCTTTGTCTCACCTCGCAGAACTAATATCAAAATCCAAGAAAGAGATTGAAGCATCGTCCTTGTTGTGGTATCTTATTTTCCTATGCTTAATATCATCAACATACTAGGCCTTAACTTCTTAAAAAGTGTATACTGACAATTGTTGTTCTACTTTCAGTACTGTTATTGCTCATGCCGGAGATGGAAACTTTCACGCATGTATTATGTTTGATCCGAGCAAGGAAGAGCAGCGAAGAGAAGCAGAAAGACTGAACCACTTTATGGTTCACAGTGCACTGTCCATGGATGGTAAATGCTTTTTCCATTCTTTGTGTGTTTGCAAAAGTGCAAAACTGTAATAGATGTGAAGCTTATTAACATATTCCCTGATCAAAATCGAAAAGCAAATTAAAGATCGGTAGGAGTCAAACTTTCTGTTCCTTTTGGTGAAAATCATCAACAAATAGGTTGGATATGTTTGCTAAACAAACGAGGCCTAGCATTTGATTATTTAACTTTTAACAGAGTGATGTTGTGGTGCTTGTTAGCTAATTAGCTTGTTAGATCAAGTTGGCTATATTTACATCGTCCTTATTGTGTCTATTTTTTACAACCTGTATACGCTTGTTGCCCGATTTAGAAAAACATGATTTTAATGATGCCACTTGGTTCTGAACCTTGTCATCAGGAACATGTACTGGAGAGCACGGTGTTGGAACAGGGAAAATGAAGGTATGTATAGCTTCTTCTATTCATATCATGTCTTGTGTTTCATTTATATGAATGTCCAGTTGTGAATTGAACGGGTCTTTTGGTTATGTCATGGAAGTATCTGGAGAAAGAACTGGGAATAGAAGCACTACAAACTATGAAGAAAATCAAGAAAACATTGGACCCGAACGATATCATGAACCCGGGAAAGTTAATTCCTCCCCATGTATGTTTCTAAGACTCCTTGTGTGTCTCTTCAGGTAGCGTTCCTTAGTTAAAAATAGATGTTAATGTTGTATGTGTAACACTGTTGTATCTTTGGTTTCATACTGTTTCTCTTCTGTTTTGTTGAAACCTAAAGTTACATGTCAAGTACAAAACAGCTGATGCAAGCAAATCGCATCCATTTACTTGTTTGCAAGTGGTAAAATCTAAGGAAAGATGAGAGCGACGTGTTATGTATCTTGAAGCACCGACTCATGATCTAAGTGCATCTTTTTAGGATTGACAAAAACCATAAGAGGTCGATAGCAATGACCAAGTCACATGAGACGAATCAGCCGCAAAACAATTAAAACGTGGGCTCCCTCAAAGATTTTGACATATCCACATTTTATATTACCAAAGTACCCTTGGTTACTTCCATCTATATATAGTTTACATCACATGACACTCAAGACACATATCCAAAAAAAACAAAAGGGAGACTAATTAAAAGAACTGATCAAGAAGAATGGGTTCCCTAGGAGAAGAAGCACAAGTAGCAGAAGACTGCATGGGTTTACTTCAGCTCCTAAGCAACGGCACCGTTTTAAGGTCCAAGAGCATTGACCTTATCACCCAACAAATCCCATTCAAAAGCCACCAAACCGTTGTATTCAAAGACTCCATCTATCACAAACCAAACAATCTTCACCTCCGTCTCTACAAACCCATTTCAGCCACCAACCGTACCACCATCCCCGTCGTGGTCTTCTTCCACGGTGGTGGCTTCTGCTTTGGCTCACGTTCTTGGCCTCACTTTCACAACTTCTGTCTAACCCTCGCATCTTCCCTCCAAGCACTTGTGGTCGCACCCGACTACAGGTTAGCACCTGAACACCGCCTCCCCGCTGCCTTCGAGGATGCCGAGGCTGCGCTCGTATGGCTCCAAGACCAGGCTCTTTCAGGTGATGCGGACCACTGGTTTGAAGATGGACCGGGGGTTGACTTTGACCGTGTTTTTGTTGTGGGTGACTCCTCCGGTGGGAACATAGCTCATCAACTCGCTGTCCGCTCAGGATCCGGTTCGGTCGAGTTGACACCGGTTCGGGTTCGTGGTTACGTTCTCTTGGGGCCGTTTTTTGGCGGGGAGGAGAGGACTAAGTCGGAAGATGGCCCAAGTGAAGCTTTGCTCAACTTGGATTTGCTTGACAAGTAAGCTAACACAACACTTTCTAATATTTTAATTTTTCTTTTAGACGTACTAACGAATAATTTTAATTTTTGCATAGAACATTAAAAATTTGAATTACTAGTCATGCATGACTTCATACTAGTTTATAACCTAACTATTAACTATTTTTAAAGCATACTATTAAATGTATAAAGTCATTATAGAGGTCGTTTTCAGTTACTTTAATTTCATATATTATCTTTTTATGTGTGTAATGCCAATTTAAACCTTGGGAGTTAATTTGCCGAGTCGCATGAGAAAGAGACAGCTAGAGTCACAGTGTCTCTTCATGAATACACAGATGTGTGTTGTTTAAACATCACAAAAAAAATTATAGACTCTCTAATATTTTCAGAAGATATTTTTCATTAATGTTTTTGATAAATTTTTATAATCGAATTCGCAGTTAGTCTACTTATTTCTACGACACAAGAAAACACGAACCTTTCTAAAGAAAACGACTCTTCCTACCAAGGATACATTTATTTTGATTACAACCATTCACCAACTAACCAACAGCCAAATGATGTATAGTGATATGTTTTTTTTAAAAATAAATTCAAAATGAGAAAATAGTAATGATCTTGAATTGATACAATCGAATCGGCGAAGACGTATGATTTTTAGCCCATGACGTGACTGTTATAATGTTACGTCATACAAAAACTATAGTCAATGTGCTTAATCTACTAATACTCCACTATTTTGATTAGTCTCAAGTCATTCAACATTATAAATGGCTGGCTTTTCAAATATTAGGGTCTTCCATCACAGTGGATACACGAATTAATGGATCTTGAAAGAAGAAAAAAATCATCCAGTAGATGGAAGACAACTTAGCTAGAAAGTATCATGTATGGAAAGTAATCGAATAAGAAAAACTTAAAAGATACCTTATAAAATCATGATCACAACCAATTAGAAACCCTACCATTATATTTGACGATTTTGATTGACTGTACTACTCATTCAGGATTTTTTTTTGTTTCTTTTGAAAATGGTCTGTAATCTATATATCTATGATAGATGATAAGTTTACAATTTCAAAAGTCTGATGAGTTTTCAAAGCATCAATAATATACTACAGTTTAGCGAGTTTCGTGTATTTTTGTATGATTTTATCATAATGCATATGATGCAAATTCATGTGGTTTTAGGTTATTGGATTAGTGGGATGATGAAATAAACAGATAATGAGATATCAAGAACAGTAGTTGATATATTTGGAAAGGAGATAGTGCGTCATGCATTATCCTCGTTTTCCCTATTATCATTGATCTCAGTTTAATTTGTGTCTGTTTCTCCTGAGCTGTGACTATCCCAATGCAACTAATTAGTGTCTCACTCTCACATCTTATGCAAGAGAATATATATATATGTGTATTTTGCATATTAATTTGAATGTGCATATTCATGTTTATCAACGCACGTGGAATCATTGAGATCACATATCATTCAAGTCTTCTCTCTAATTGATCGTTTCTCTTTTTATGTTTGAACAATGAGATGATTGACCCGTCTTCTTCATGGCCTTTGTCATAAAGCTATATGTATAGTAAAATATTGGTAATGGTATAGTCTATTACAATATGAGACTCAGAGAGAGAGAGAGAGAGAGAGAGAAAAGAAAGTGGGCTTAACTACTTCTTTTTTGAACTTCTTGAAGGTTTTGGAGATTGTCACTACCAAAAGATGCAACAAGAAATCATCCCATGGCTAACCCTTTTGGACCGATGAGCCCTAGACTCGAATCAGTCAGCCTAGAGCCAATGTTGGTGATTGTCGGCGGCTCAGAACTCTTAAGAGATAGGGCTAAAGAGTATGCATGTAAATTGAAGAGGATGGGAGGCAAAAAAGTAGATTACATTGAATTTAAAAACGAGGAGCATGGCTTCTACTCTAACAATCCATCTTCCGAGGCTGCGGAACAAGTTCTTGGTATCATTAGAGACTTTATGAACAACTTGTCTTATTTATTTTAGCATTTTGGCTTGTTTTGAAGGTAATTTTTTTTTTGTTTGTCAAAGATAAAGTTTAAGCTTGTCGAAGGTAACTAAGAGTTTGATTTAATTAGAATGCCATGTCAACAAGTTTGAACCATATATATATATATATATATATATATATATATATGTACACAAATCGTATACAATGTTCTTGGTTTCGTTATATTTTATACATGGTACATTCGTAATCATACCTTAAAATGGTATATCCATATATTGGTAGTTTGACTTTCCATTTTTCTTATCAGCTCGTTGCCAGAATAAGTATGTCAAAGTATATGTTCTTCTTTATGCAAGGTTTTTCTTGTCTTAAGTATTGAACTCAAATAGACTTGAATCGATAATACACAAACGTATCAAGTCTTCGGTACTCCCTAATATTAATTAATGACATGAAATTTGTTATCCATTTAAACGAAATCTTTCCTCCACTATACTATATATCTAGGTTTAAGACGAAGTTTAGTTCGTTTCTTAAAAGAATTTTTAAGGCCACTAGTTCTAATCGCAACTTTTGTACCCATATACAGTATAGTTTTAGTTTAATCGAACATTTGTTGTCCCAAAAAAAAACAAAGGGCTTAAACTCATCATGTTTTCATGATGTTAGGCTACGTTGACCTGGAAAGCTTCAATGTCGATGGCCCATAACTTCCACTCGGAAACACCCAATAATTCCACATTAATAAAGAAAAGTTTCTCCGATAAGAAACTTCCAATCTGACCCCAAAAAATAATAGTAAGATAAGAAACATCAAATAAATAATACCATTTGAATTAGTCGTCCCATAAAAAAAAATATACATAATGTATCGTTTACAATGTGATTTATTGTTCTGTTCGTGAATCACACGTATCTTAAATCAATTTAAAACCATCAAAGATATATTTTACAGGTCAGAATTGTATAGCTAGGTCTCAAATTCAAACATTTCAAATATTTAAACTGTCTGTTTCTGCATAACCTACTTAGATATCAAAATGTTTTAGACTCAAATATTTCTTTAAAATAGGTAGAAAATTTTGGGATTAAATTGATCTCTTCGAAGCAATAAAACTTACTGATAAGAAATTCATCAGCTAAATCTACCTCCATTTAATGTATCATTAACAATTTGTTCATGCATGATTTCTAATAAGGTTTGTCACCATTTATATATCTCATATCTTCAAGGAAGATGTCATTTAAAAAAAAAAAAACTCTAATATATGACTATTTCCCCATTTTTGAGAACACAATAGATTCATAAATTTTAAAAAGTACTATCTAATGTCCAAAACATAATAACTTACTAGATACTGAATTTTATGAACTTGATAGTAATAATAATAAAGCTTTCAATATGTTTGTCATTAATAAAAAAAACATATACTACATATTTTAAAAATTTTGATTGGGATAATTCAAGGAAAAAAAGAAAACACACATGTACATCTTCTATCTGATAATATAAGATCACAGTAATCGAAACGATGAGATAATTACAAATTCGTTATAAGAATGACAAATTTAGTAATTGGTTCATAGATGAGGCACACTCTTTTATTATTAAAAAGAAAAAAAAAACTAATAATATTTACAGATTAGCTGACCTGTATTTTCCGCAGGTAAAGAAAAGACACCTCATCTTACAAAGATCTCAGCCGTTGATCTCATTCTTACAAAAACACATCTTCACCGTTAATAAATAATATTACACCTCTCTAGTAAACTCGGTTTTACCAAAAATAAACCTTAAGCCGTCGTCGTCGTTTGTTGTGGGCACGAGACGAGACTCCATTGAAAGAGAAAAGCCTTGTTTATTCCTCGATTTCAAATTGAAAGATTAGAATAAAACAGAAAGCTTTAGGGTTTCAGAATAAACCAGAGGGAAACTACGAAGACGACGACCAATTCTCTCAATCTTTGTTTCCACGATTTGTTTTTGTTTCCCTCTGATTCACAACCAATAAAAAAAAATCGATTTTTTTCTTCTTTCTTTTTTGCTTTCTCTCTTTTGCTTTTACTTTTCGTTTTACCACAGAAAGCGAGAAAATTGTTGGTGGGGTTCTGTTAAATTTCCCAGAAATTATTGTAGAAGGAGAAGGTGATATCATTTAGCTTCCAATTGTTTTGTTTCCTGAGGATAGAAGCTTATATTTTCCTGGGAAAACTCCGACCTTTGGCTTTAATCTTCGTGTTCTTGGTTTGTTAAACGGTAAGGTAAAGCTCCAGATTTTGCCCTTGTTTGCTTTTTCCTATTCTGCCCATGAAAGGAGCTTCCTTTTTAGTAGCGATCGTTTTGTAGATTGAATTAATCTTTGTGAGAATTGACTTTTACAGGAGCTATATTGGCGCTCATTTCGTGTTCCCGGATCTAGACTACGGAGATCGTTACTATGTATATGTGTAGTAGCGTTAGATTGTGATTTGGATACTGTTACCAAAGTTATGGATTTGGCAATTGTATCTTCCCCTAGGGATGGTGTTAGATGCTGTGATTGTGGATGCAGTTGCTCTTTGAATGATGCTTCTCCGGGTTCTCTGCTTCGTTCTGTGAAGAGAAAATACGAGGAATTCGAGAATGATAAACTGTTTCACATACCGGAGCTGGAGCTGGACTTGTATTCCAATGCTAAAGTCCAAATTGAGAATGAATTGGAACTGCTAAGGGAGACTGTTAGCAGCCAACAGCAATCGATTCAAGATTTGTATGAGGAGCTTGATGAAGAGAGGAATGCTGCATCCACAGCTGCAAGTGAGGCAATGTCGATGATATTGAGGTTGCAGAGGGACAAGGCTGAACTCCAAATGGAATTGAGACAGTTTAAGCGTTTTGCTGAGGAGAAAATGGAGCATGATCAGCAAGAGCTTTTGGATCTGGAAGATTTGATATATAAGAGGGAGCAGACCATTCAGGCTATGACCTGTGAAGCTCAGGCTTATAAGCATAGAATGATGAGTTTCGGGCTCAGTGAGACTGAGGTTGATGCGGAGAAGAGCATGCTTAGCCGTAACCCGAGCATGATTGAAAGTGATTACCAATATGATCTCCCTACATATGATTACCCTCCTATAAAGTGCAATGTGAATGAGAACCCAGGACCCCTGGAGGCTGATATTGATGTTGATGATGTTGAAAAGTACCCACTGGCTGATTCACCTCATGGCCTAGAAAATTTGAAGACATTGGAACAAAGAATCAGTCAGATGGAGAAAAATCCTAGCTTTACTCAGTCTAATGGTGATGTATCTGGAGGGAGAAATTATTCGGAGAAGTTGATGATTGGTCAGAGTCCTAGGCATCAGAGGCATTGCAGGAGGGTTTCCACTGGTAGCTCAAGTTCACTTTTGGGAACAAATAGGGAACATAGACCTGATTTTCCCACTGAGTCACCAAGGTCCAACAGTGGGAGCTTCAGGAAAGTGGAAGATACCTCGTATGCAGAGGGTAATTCCTATGCAAAGGCAAAAGGTGATTCATCAGAAATAGGCGATAACGACATGAATGATAGAGTTTATACTATTGACTCTGTGCATCACGGTGTATCTCATAGTTGTGCTGCTGAGCAAAAGCTTAAGAATGATACTGTTGATGGTTATGCGATGTCTCCGAGAGAAAAATCGAATCAGCCGGATCTTGGTGATCCTGATATAGCGAAACTCTACATGAGGCTTCAAGCACTAGAGGCTGACAGGGAATCAATGAGACAGGCGATTATGTCAATGAGGACTGAGAAAGCTCAAATGGTTCTTTTAAAAGAAATTGCCCAACATCTATCTAAGGATGTTGTCCCAGAACGGAGATTGCCTCTGCAGAAAGCATCTATTGTTGGAGCATTCAATTTCATATCTCTCTTTAAGGTGATTTTTGTTTCTTATACCAATCAGTGGGATGTGTTCTTTATATAGTAAATACTGATAGTATACTCCTTGTGGTAAGTTTTGTTCTGTATTTCTAAAATGAATTGTATACTCCGAAAGTAACTGATTTTTCTAATTATCCTGTGCAGTGGATCACATCTTTTGTTTTCTGGAGAAAGAAGCCTCGTCGAAGCAAGTAAGTAAACACAGTGTCGAATCTTGATTATCTTGTGCTTCAGATACCTTCTATGGGAACTGAGTTTTGAGTTTGTAGTATTATAAACGATTAAGATCCTTTTATAGACTTGCAAAGATCTTTTAAAACATACATACTTATCCTTGCCGTGTTCCAAATGGTGTAAATGCAGATACATGAACACAATGCAAGGGAACAACATGGGGTTGCAAATGCTTCTAGAAAAAACTCCTCGGGTACGGCAATGGAGATGTCTCTCAAGCACACAAGTTTGACAATCACATCCTCAAATTTGGTTTGAAACGCACAATGTGTGAAAAGTAGTAGGTATTGGGAGCGGTGTGCTTTACTCTGTCCATCTTCATGGTTGCTGAGAAAAATGGTATCTCATGTGCAGTAATTTTTCTTTTCTTTTTGTGTTTGCCATATTTCATTTGTTGTGGGGTTGCAATTGTCTTTGAGAATGGGGTTTGATGATTGTCTGAAAAGATCAGTGAGGCTTCACGCAAAAGAACGTCCCCTTATTTGTAAGCTGTGTATAATTTTTCCAGATTCTTGTTTGAAAATTCTCTGGAAAGAAACAGAAAAGAAAAGCAAAAAAAAAAAAATCCGAGTCTTTCGGTTTATTCTCTCAACAGTTATCGGTTAACGGGACTTGGTTTTGTTTTGATCGTCAAATTATCAAAATCCGTACTAAACCAATCACCTACTAATGCTTAAGCAATTAGTTTTTACGGTTGAACCGATTCAACCCAAGTTGTATTTTCAATTCCATCTCCTGGTTAAGTAAGATTATGAGTTATGAACCCTCGCGGTTGTTAAAACTTAAAACCCAAAACCCTCGCCGCTGAAGCGGATGCTCCGTCAAACATGCCAAAGTACAAGAATCTGTTGCTAACATCGAAGCGTCGTAAATCCAAATCCAAAAAGCGAAAGCTCATTCAGCGTGAAACACTAAACCAGGGAATAGAAGAAGATGAAGATGAAGGAGGGTTTAAGCTCAAAATTGCAGCTCCTTCGCAAGAGCATGGTGTTCAACCTCTCGGAAACCTGTATTTTAATCCTGGTTCGGTCAATGTGCGAAACACTGGATTAGGTAATCTCCAGATACTCACTGATGAGCTCGTTTTGGATATTCTAGGTCTTCTCGGGGCGACTCATTTGGGTATTTTGGCTACTGTAACCAAATCTTTCTATATTTTTGCCAATCATGAGCCTCTCTGGAGGAATCTCGTGTTAGAACAGCTAAAAGGAGAGTTTTTGTTTAATGGGTCGTGGAAATCTACCTATGTAGCTGCTTACCACCCGAAATTCCAGTTGTCTGGAGATGGTGAATCAAATTTGAAGATTATAGATTTCTATTCTGATTATCTATTTCAGAGCTGGTTGTGTGCGAATCTCGAAATGAAACCAAAATGGCTTAGAAGAGATAATATCACCCGGGTGAGAGGCCTTTCTGTTGAAGATTTCATTACGAAGTTTGAGGAGCCGAATAAGCCGGTTTTGTTGGAGGGATGTTTGGATAATTGGCCTGCCATTGAGAAATGGTCCAGAGATTATCTGACTACGGTGGTTGGGGATGTTGAGTTCGCGGTTGGTCCAGTTGAAATGAAGCTAGAGAACTATTTTAGGTATTCTGATAGAACTAGGGAAGAAAGACCACTGTACTTGTTTGATCCAAAGTTTGCAGAGAAAGTTCCGGTTTTGGATTCGGAGTATGATGTTCCTGTTTATTTCAGAGAGGACTTGTTTGGTGTTCTAGGAAACGAGCGACCTGATTATAGATGGATCATAATTGGCCCGGCCGGATCAGGATCGTCTTTCCACATTGATCCTAACTCAACATCTGCTTGGAATGCAGTGATTACAGGGTCGAAAAAATGGGTTCTGTTCCCACCAGATGTGGTTCCTCCCGGTGTGCATCCAAGTCCCGATGGAGCAGAAGTAGCCTGTCCTGTTTCTATAATAGAGTGGTTCATGAACTTTTATGATGATACTAAGAATTGGGAAAAGAAACCTATTGAGTGTATATGCAAAGCTGGGGAGGTGATGTTTGTACCTAATGGATGGTGGCATCTGGTGATTAACTTGGAGGAGTCGATCGCTATTACTCAGAATTATGTTAGCAGGTAAAGGATTCTTCCTACTGGCTCTTTAGTTTGAAACCTTTGTCTCATGTCTCCTTTTGGAGATAAAGTTGACAACAGATGAACAATAAACTGAAACGACTTAAAGATGCTAGATAAAGGTTATTATAGATGTTATAATCTTCTGCTTAGCTAAACACAAAAATATCCCACTTAGCTCTGCCAGGCAGTGGACACTGGAAAAGCAGACTGATGTATCTAGAATATCAAAAGTATAACGATCTTCATTGAGAAGATTAAATGTTTTATATAGTATTCATCTGGGAGCTTATTTGTGCATAGGTTGTAGCGACTGTTGTTGATATATGGTGACATGTGTGTTGAAGAGATGGATTTAGTACATGTGTATTGAGTCTGATCTAATAGGAGAAACATTACTTGTGCAGGAGGAATTTATTGAATGTGTTGGAATTTCTGAAGAAACCAAATGCTAAAGAGCTCGTCTCCGGAACAACTGACAGAGAGAATTTGCATGATAAATTTAAGACGGCCATTGAAGGAGCTTACCCCGGAACTATCCAAAAGTTAGAGAAGAAAGCAGAAGAAGCGAAAAGAGCCGAAGAACAAAGAGTTTCTTTCTGGGACTCTGCCAAAGCTGATGCTTTCAAGTTCTCTTTCTAAAGACAAATACTTCATCTTCAAATTTCAGTTTTGTACCATCTTCCAGATCCTTTAACAAATGCAGATCGAGGAAATTGTTACCCTTATTAGACTTAAAATTGTTTGTTTATGCTCTTTGTTACTCTACCAGCCAAAACTTTAAAAAAAACAGAGGAAATCGACCGTTATTTGTTGATTTCTTATAAAGTGGCAAACTTTTGGGTATTTTGTTTTTCAGAGAATGAGTAACATTGTGCTCAACACACTTCGTTTCAAACACCCGAAGCTTGCATTGCTCCAATCCTGTTCTTCCTTCCCCGACCTCAAGATCATCCATGGCTTTCTCATACGAACCCATCTCATCTCTGACGTCTTTGTTGCCAGTCGTGTACTCGCTCTCTGCGTTGACGACTCCATCTTCAACAAACCCACCAATTTGTTGGGATATGCATACGGAATCTTCTCTCAGATTCAATACCCCAATCTTTTCGTCTTCAACCTTCTCATCCGCTGCTTCTCCATTGGCGCAGAGCCTAGCAGGGCTTTTGGATTCTATACCCAGATGTTGAAATCTCGAATTTGGCCTGATAACATCACGTTTCCGTTTCTGATTAAGGCGTCTACTGAGATGGAGTGCGTGACGATAGGAGAGCAAACGCATTCACAAATTGTTAGATTCGGATTCCAGAACGATGTTTATGTAGAGAACTCGCTTGTTCACATGTACGCTAATTGTGGGTTGATCGCTGCTGCTGGTAGAATCTTTGGGCAAATGCCGTTCCGAGATGTGGTTTCGTGGACTTCTATGGTAGCTGGGTATTGCAAATGTGGGATGATTGAAGATGCACGAGAGATGTTCGATGAAATGCCCCATAGAAATTTGTTTACTTGGAGTATCATGATCAATGGGTATGCGAAGAACAACTGTTTTGAGAAAGCCATCGACTTGTTCGAACTCTTGAAGAGGGAAGGAGTTGTTGCAAATGAGACGGTTATGGTGAGTGTGATTTCTTCTTGTGCTCATTTGGGCGCGCTTGAGCATGGAGTAAGAGCTCATGAGTATGTTGTTGAAAATCACATTACTGTAAATCTTATTCTTGGGACAGCTCTTGTGGATATGTATTGGAGGTGTGGGGATATCGAGAAAGCAATTTGTGTATTTGATGAATTGCCAGACAAGGATAGCTTGAGCTGGAGTTCGATAATCAAAGGTCTTGCCGTGCATGGACATGCTCACGAGGCAGTTCATTACTTCTCCCAAATGATTAGATTAGGATTCATCCCAAGGGATGTTACATTTACAGCGGTTCTTTCAGCTTGCAGCCATGGCGGATTAGTTGAAAAAGGTTTAGAGATATATGAGAACATGAAAAGAGATTATGGTATTGAGCCTAGACTAGAGCATTATGGTTGCATTGTTGATATGCTTGGCCGTGCTGGAAAGTTAGCCGAAGCTGAAAACTTTATCCTTAAAATGCCGGTGAAGCCAAATGCTCCTATACTGGGAGCATTGCTTGGAGCATGTAAGATATATAAGAACACTGAGGTGGCAGAGAGAGTTGGAAACATGTTGATAGAAGTGAAGCCAGAACATAGCGGTTACTATGTGTTGCTTTCAAATATATACGCGTGTGCAGGACAATGGGAGAAAATCGAGAGCTTGAGAGACACGATGAAGGAGAAGCTTGTTAAGAAACCACCGGGGTGGAGCTTGATAGAGATTGATGGGAAAATAAACAAGTTCTCAATGGGAGATGATCAGAAGCATCCTGAAATGGGTAAGATCAAACGAAAGTGGGAAGAGATGTTGGGGAAGATAAGATTGATAGGTTATAAAGGAAACACAAGTGATTCGTTTTTCGATGTAGACGAAGAGGAGAAGGAGAGCGCCATTCATATGCACAGCGAGAAACTTGCAATTGCATATGGTATGATGAAGACTAAGGCGGGTACAACGATTAGGATAGTGAAGAACTTGAGGGTATGTGAGGACTGTCATACAGTAACAAAGCTTATATCTGAAGTTTATGGTAGAGAGTTTATAGTAAGAGACCGCAACAGATTTCATCATTTCAGAAACGGTTCATGTTCCTGCAGAGATTATTGGTGAAAGTCTTTGTTTTAACTACTTTTTGGTAGAGGATTTGTCTCTCTTCTTTTTTTTCGTTTCCTAAATTAGTGCACAAGTTTGCATGCTACATACAAATCCTCTTACAAGTTCACAGACGTTTTTCGAGTAAATAGTATTGAAGGAATAAGTACATAAAACGTAAATCTTTTTTATTTAGGTACATATAAATGTAATATATAGCATAACAATACACTTTTTCTCTTTTTTTTTGGGTTAAAAGTAAAGCATGAAATAATACAATACAACAATTATATAAATAAAGAAATAAATTTCAACAGATTTAGGAATTTAGCAAATAAAAACGAGAAAAGGGCGGTGCCGTCCTTAAGGAGAAGAAGCCACGTGACCAAAGGGACTCTTTGCTGTTGGACCCATCACCAAACGCGAAGCCAAGACATTCACATACTCTCACATACAGTATATGATAAATTTGTCATAGTGTACCTTAACAAAGTTAATGTCATGTGGGTTAATGATTAATTAAACAAATATAATTAGGGAAAAATAAATTAAGGATGGGTGCAGCTCGCGCCTCAAGTCGGCGACAACTAACGTTTCAACTACCGACCAGACAGTGTGGGTGAATTGCAGATTAGGAGAGGGCTCTCTTTGAGTTGAAGTCCCTTGACTCATCTTCGCACTTGTCCTGCCACGTAAGTGCATCTTTGTGGATGTTTGTCCCTACGTAGACATGTATCCTCAAAACTATTGATTACTCTTATATATTCGTTTGTAATATATTGTATTAATTAATATTGAACGTGGATTTCCCATAGATACAATAAATATATATTACACCACGAACGATACTTTGATAATTAGATCATTTATGATTTTAAGTATGGTTTCGTTTTCACCTTCATACAAATCTTTATATTCTTTTAACAGTTCGCCAAAAGAAAGAGAGAAACGAAACAACGCTCTATCATCATAACATGTAAACGCAAAGAAACAATGGAAGACGTTTAGGCCATATACATATACAAAGAGGATCCAATGACAAAAGAAACAAAACGTAGGTATCAGTAGAAGCCGTTTATCAACTTCAGAACGAAGAAGAGAACAAAAGGCTGGGCCTGCTTCATTTATTGGCTTTCTGATTTAAGACATGGATCCTTGACAAAATCACAACCTGTCCGTAGCTTTCTTGCACCACTGTACGTGACTACACATTGAGGCAGTACAAACACTTACACATAACGTACCAATTTCTTATACATTCAATTCTAGTGTTGACCTCACATGGAATTTATATATTATATAGTACATTTGGTAGGCGTAAGTCAATTTAAAGTCCGTTTTAAAGATAAAAAAATACTTCTTCTTCTTCAAAAACAATCATGGGTTTGAGTTTGAAGTTTGAACCATCCCATGATTTTTAAAAACCAATACATACACAGTACCATTTATACTAATCACTAAAAAAGGTTTGACAAAAACAAATCACTGCAAATATACACTTTTCGGGTCCTATCTTTACATTTTTGTACATAAAAATAAAGAAAGGCTTATAGCAATCATATACAGTGAAACCTCTATAAATTAATAATGTTGGGATCTTAGAATTTTATTAATTTATAGTGATGTTAATTTATCTATAAATTAATATTTATTATTTTATAGTGTAAATTAATAATTATTAATTTATAGTGGTATTTTCACTCTTAAATTTTTTTAAAATTATGGATTGGGACAATTTTACAAAACAAGAATAGTTTTTAAGATTATATAAATTTTTATAGTTTCGAACTGAATTCTATATTTATAAAAAAAAATAAAAATGAATTCAAAATTCCTATCTATACAAAGTACATACATGATGACAAAAAAAAATACAAAGTACATACATAAATTCAAATTTATGATTAATACCTCAATTGTTATCTTTTACCATCCTATGAAACAAACAAAAAATGAATATGATGCATATTTATAAATAGAAAACATTAGAAATTTTTTGTTTATTTTATGATGTTATGGAATATATTATAAGATTATACATAGTATAAAAATATAATATATTTTTTATATAGATATGAGGTCTAGGAGAAATTCATTTTTAGAAAAAACTAAACGCATATTTCAACATAACTACTTATTTATATATATATATATATATAAGTGATTATTAATTTATGATATTATTGGGACTATATTTACATAGGGATTTTAAAAAAACTTATTATCTTATTATCTTATCGAATTTGGTTAATTTTTACACTGGCCCGACTTGGGACTAGAAAAATTTATTAATTTATAGTGTTTATTAATTTATAGTGTTTATTAATTTATAGAGTATTAATTTATAGAGGTTTTACTGTAATTAGGTTTAGTTTTTCATTCCCCTTCTAATCTTCTCTATGTCATGGGTTCAGAACATGTTAGATTTAACGGTTGCTTCGTATTGATCGGATACATACAAATTCCAAAATTAGCTTTCACACATTATTATTACGAAAGGAACAGAACTAGATACAAGGACAATCCACTGGATCTAGTACCTATATCTAAGTACCTTGTAAATCACTTCGTGTGGCGTCAAATTTAGTTGACTTGAGATATAGAAAAGAGAGTAAAAGAATCGGAAAAAAGAAAGAAAGAACGGGACGCCTGATTTACCAATACTTCACTATCGTATTAATTAATAATTACATGCATCGATTGTGTATTGTTAACACGGTCGAGATTGCGAGAAGAGAATGTGAGGTCAGATTTAGCCATAAAACCAATATATATACGTAATAATTACGAAGATATGATGATAATAAGTACAAGAAAATCCCTAACGAAAGCTAAATAAATCTCAAAACTAACCAAAAAAAGAAATTAAAAAGGAAAATAAAAAGCTTTTTGAGTACAAAACATATTTGGCAGGAAGAAAGCATCCAAAACCAGCTTTTTAGCAAATGCCCTGTCCCCTAGGTAACATGAGACTCAACCAAAGCCTCACAATATTTTCGTACATTTTCCAAAACACACACGAAATTAACATATACAAACATAA